CAAATACTATCGATCGTCCTTCGACATAATTCATCATCAGTACACGATATGATACTGTCGACATCTGTAGGTATATTAGTTGGGAGCCCATTTTTGTTCGCGACTATGGCACACAGAGCCACTAACGTCGCGATGAGGTATCCGCACGGCTGCATAAAGAAAACAGTAGCAATCATACGAGCACGGGACTTGGTAGGAGCGAACTCTGATGTTATGATTGCGCTCAGAGGGTAGTCCCCGCCAATCCCGATCCCCATCAGGAATCTCCAGGATATCAGCCATCCAACTAGATTCATTGATTTAGACGCGCCATCCGAAGCCATTGTTACCCCGACCGTCGCGACGATAACTACCAGCAGTTCAAGTCCATACATTTTTCGTCGACCATACAGGTCCGCCAAAACACCGAATGCATACTGGCCGAGAATAGTTCCTACGAGAGTGGCGGCGCGCATGGCAGTTTCGATTCTCGCGGGCATTACTCCATGCCAGTAAACATGTGAAAGCATGGGGATAATTATTCCCACAGCGAATATCTGTTAAAGTGGTTATGAACTGTTGGTTAGTTCGTTTACTGTTACTGAAAACTTATATTATATTCCAACTGGTGTCACATACGTCATATCCATCTGTGAAAAATCCTACACCGGCAACAAACACTACCAGACCTTGAAAATGAGTTGCATCGAGCTCATCAAAGACTCGACGGCGTCTTAGATGAACGTCCTATAAGATTCAGTGTATTAGCTAGATCCAATACATATTATTGCGGGTGCATTAACTGACCGGAATATGATTGAAGTTAACTGTCCGATTCTTGACCTGGAAACCGACAGGAAACTTCATCACTGGTGATTATGTCCTTGACGATAGGGTACGAAGGCTACTGAATATCCATCGAAAAAAGGATAGGTAAAATATATCCGGAGGGGTCCATAGCCAGTACCTCTCTTTCAAAGTCCAAAGCGGGAGCGAGAGGTTCTTATTGTATGGAGCTATGGTCATTCAGATGCGGCCACCGGTCTAGAAGGAAGCTCGGCGTCGAAACAAGCTGATTGGCCAAGGCTTGAAAGTTCCAGAGGATATATGGGTTGTCAATGTGGTGGCCAATGGTTCGTGCAAAAGGGGCCAGTTACATGGTGTCATATTTAAGCGACGCGGGAAGCCCAAGTACGGAGTAAACCCTGAGGAAAATGAACAATAGGAGAGCTCTCCCTCCGTGTTTGGATGTTGCGCGCTATGCATCTCTCCCATTAGATAAAAACTTAAATGGAAACTGTGTTGCCGAACACAATATTCTGATTGTCTTTCGTTTTGGAGGTGGGGAAAAAGATGAGGAGCAAGAAGCCCCCAAAAACAGTTGCTGTCAGGGGTTTGTTGACCCATACAGAGGTCCAGAAACAACCACGAGGTTGCAAGGGGATGAAGGCTAAAAGCGCCACACAAGGAAGATCCATGCCTATTACTAGTCACGCATTTCTTGGCATAGGTCCTGCGGCAAACATGGCATTAACAAAATCCTGGAGGTCTATGGAGATGACAAAATTGTCAGTCTTGCGAATATTATGGGATTCAAGCATTGTTGCTGCCAGAAATAGAGTTGAGGAAGAGGATACTTACCGCTCTGACATGTAAATGTAATTCTCAAATGCTGCATTTGAGTGAGAACCTTTAGCTCGAGAATATTGCTTCGTGACGAAATTTTGTAGTTGGGCGAAATTTGTTTTTCTAAGGAGAAGGTTAGCAAGGGAAGCTTAAATATCATGGTTCTCACCAATAGCATGAAATACCGTTGATTTCAATGTACTTCAGATTGGGCCTCGAAGTAGCGAGATATAGAAAGGATCGAGGATTTCCCTCAGATGTGTTTTCCCAAATCCGAATGTATTGTCGGTCTGATTCCTTTCCATGTACGGAAGAAATCTTTTGTATGACGGTAGCCAGAATAAGTTTCTGGCCATAGATCAAGCTTTGGAACTTAAACTGGTCTGCCGCAAGCCAAACACAAGGGGTATGAAACGTTAGCCGCGGGGGTGCAGACAGAAATACAGGGTGGTATACAGGGTCAAGCAGACCTGTTTGGTTCTCGAAGAAATATTGTACTCCTTCTTCTCCCCGCTTCATAACCGGCTGCTTAACGAAATAAACGCGAAGAGCTTCCTCGGGAGCATCTCGAGGGCCTGGGGGCTCCGTGTGGGGGATCGGCCGTCTCTCAGCCGATGATACTGCTTGAACATTTTAGTTTGGCTGGTAACCCGAAAGGGGACGGAAATAGCGTTACCCGAACATTTAATGACGGGAAGTTGCCGCTGGGGCTGGCGGAGATCAACTGCTTTAATAGCATATAACCGGCCATCGCTACGATAGCCTGCTTCGAGATTGCAGTACACTGGGGAGGGGTTGCTATCCCAAAGACTATGAAAAGTGGAGCGCGGATCAGTCTATTGTCATCAGAGGCAGAAAAAACGAAAACATACATTTTCACCCATCCACTTAGCTGTAAAGCCTTCCAACTCCTTTGACCTCCTGATCCGTTTGATGACGCAAAGCTAGGCCGATGCGATGACTCTGTATCACTCAAAGGGGAAGTAGGAGATATAGCTTGAAGCTTCCTTTCGTAGTTCCGATTTCCTTGGCGGGTAGTAGATGAGGGCGGCCGGTGCTTCATATCCGAGACATTGGTGTCAACCATGAGAGGATCTATGCTGTCAACGGTGCTTGTTGTTGCCGTTCGCGAAGGTGCGCTAAATGAGAACACTGATGGCAAGGGCGAGGTTGATTGGGACACCGTGGATATCGTTGATCCCGCTTCGAACCGATATCCACCTTCCTCATGCAGGGGAGGAAGTGGGCTTGTTGGTTCAAGGTAGCAGGCGTTATTTTCTGTCGAGACTCGTTTCAGGGGAGCGTTAATCGCACTTCGGGAGAGTAAAGCCTTATTCAGTTCAAAGTGGGAAGGCCAGTATCCATTTCGATGTTGGACCGAAGAATTTGCCTTCCGTTCGATGGCATTGAGTACCCGACGGTGGAAAAGATCAAGCTGGTCGCAAATGGTTTCCCACTCCTCGTCCTCGCCAGCATCTGCCCGGTTTCTTTCCAACATAGCAAATTCTCGCTGTCGTTCCACGGTAGCCAGAATCGCTTGATACCTGTCGGTTGCGTATGGGATACCTGCGTCGATCGGAAATGAAAATGAAGCGCCCCGATCCAGTTGGGTCGGCACTCTGCTTGACGTCGATGTTACCTCTACACGCAACGCCGCAATCGTGTTTTCCATGCTCGTAATTCGATTTCCGATGCCGACCGTTTTCTCCCTGAAGAGGTGTCAGAACAACCTATTTCGAACAAGATCCGCGAAAAGCAACATAGCCCGAACCTTTCTAGCACAGTGAGGTATAATCCCAGAGACTGCTTATGCCGTTCGATCCTTTCCCGCAGAGCTATAATATCCTTCTCTCCCCAGGCCAAGTGCCTGACAATCTCGCCTCCCATCCGAGTCGCAATTTTCGATTTCGCCAGAATCTCTCTCGATCTGCGGATACTCAATCGCGGCCTTGGTGGTCCAAGATGGCCACTTCCTAAGAACTGCTGTTGTAAAGCAGAATATTTTTCGAGGTGATCTCGACATTCTCGCAAAGTAGTTTCCACCCCACGAAGCTCGATACAGGAAACTCCGTCGGTCTCTTCGAGAATATGATGGAATTGTTTTAACAGGTCCTCAAATTCCAGCACCTCTTCACGCAGCCCGTTGATAGCCTGTACTGCGCTCGTCGGGCCGTGTCGGCAATTAACGACAACATAATGGCATATTTCGATTAGCTTAAAGACATCAGAAGGGGAAAATCCAAAACTCATGATGACCACACTGTTCGCTTTGGGTTGGCTTCAGAAAGCACAACGGAGCAGCTGGCGAGCTGGTTCACATGTCACTGAATCCAAGATGCAATGTGATAACTCTGAAGTTGAACGGTCCAAGGGCGGCGCATAGCTTTAGCAATACTGCCTCAAAATATTCACAGAGAAAAAAACTGAAACAAACGAAACGAACTGAGGTAGATTATGAGCAGGCAGTATATAGCAATGCCACGATCTATATCTTCTTAGCAAACAAACAAAGGTGCCCGCTAATATTCATTCATTTGGGTCATGACACATCCGGTGCTTCGATCATCCTCAATTCGAAAAACGCTCTGCTACGTTGAGTGGTAGTAGTCTCTCGCAGGTGCTGCCAAGCCAGACAAAGTATAACTACTGCAGAGGCAGCATAGCCGTCAGCTTTCGAAGCTTCCGTCAGCGGGTCAAGAGCAATAGCATTTTCCAGGCGCATATGAGGCTTCTTCACACCAACCATAGTTCGGTTTCTTATGCTCCCAAATGTATTTGGCGTTGGGGTTTTCTTTTGCTCAGGCTGCGTAGCCCGCGTCTTGTATTTCGTGGTAGCCTGCGAGGGAGGCTGTACTAAAGGACAAGACAGGCGGAGAGTATCACGCCTCTCTAAAGGACAAGGGCATTGGTAAAGGCATCATGATATCTATCTACGGAGGAGTTCCTTAAACATTCAAAGGCAAAAAGGATTGGTGAACTCATTGAAGTTGTTTAGGGCGGATCATATGAGAAAGACTATGGCGCACGTTTCCGATCTATTGGACGGGAGTCACGGGACAGCTGCTGAGACCCTGCAGGCTAAACAGTCATGCTGGTCCTCGCCATGCAGGATATCAACGTTAGCACGGAGTAGTTTTGGAATCGGCGAGGGCGTTGATGGTGTGTAGCTGCCAGAGTTTGGGGTCTGTCGGGATGTCTGCTAATTATCCAGGCGGGAAAATAATATTTTCACAGGCCAATGGTTTTTCCAATCGTTGAACAACGGAGGACACTATCACTCCCATACGTCTCTATCTTCAAGTACGGAGTAGTATTGATATTAGAAAATATATTTGAAAATAATAAATTGTACAAAAATAAATAAATTAAAAAAGTAAATTAAAAAAAGAAAAAACAGCCGAACGCGGGGGTCGAACCCGCAGCCTTGCGGTTGCATGAAATACTAACATAAGAGCCGCACGCTCTACCGATTGAGCTAGCCCGGCGCTTGTTGTTGCAGCCCATTGGCGCACAAAACAATATATTCAGGGCCTCGGATCAGCCATTTTGAGATCGCTTTCCATTCTTCTCTGAGCATTTGTTTCTCTATCCTCCCAACAATCCCTCAGTTTGACATATCTAAGAAGTTCTCTCCTGCCATGCTTTTGTCTAGTATTGTTCTCGCTACTCACACAGAACATGTCCACAACCTCAGAAAATCAATATTAGGAAAGTTACTGAGCTTAATGAAAGCGGAGAACTCAATCCACCAGAACATCGGCCAAACCTTTTGATTTGGCTCTGTGGTGAAGTTATCAATTATGAGCCCAGCATAGAAGGAATGAGTACATGTACAATTTGGCATGAGATTTGCCCTTTCATCTACCAAGAATGTTCGGTTATCAGTTGTCTCTCTCAAAGATGATACAGGGGAATGTGCCAATGATAAATTAGCCAGCCTGGTTTGGTTTGATTGCCTTGGCCTTACTCTCTTGTAGCCAGCATATTCTCAACTGGCACAATCTGGCATACTACAGTTAACATGCAGAAATGTGACTTTCAAAGATCTTGGCTAGCAATCTCAGCAATCCTAAATTATGGCCCAAACATCCATTCTAACTGAGAGCACATTTCTACTGCATACAAGCTTCTGGGGGATTTGTCTATGATTCAGATACTCAAAGACTCACAACCCACGCGTTGACACTGACAGAGCTCCATGTGCGAAACGACTGACGCCCTGGACGCTAGTTCAATTCCACGGAAAAGTAGCCTGAGCCTGCTGCAACTTGCAAGTAGGCCATATCGCACAGTTGGACCTGCGGAGCGTCCATATCAGATACCGGGTACTCCCGAGCAAAAGTATGAAAAATCGTTTTCTCAACATTTAAGCATACTTTAGCTGAATTTTTTTCCGTCCGCCTCAGCCAGATCTCTCAGTGGATATCTCCCCCAGCAAACGCCTCCAGCATTTCTGCTAGAAGAAGCACGCAAGGGTCTCTCACAGAGCACCTTTTTTGAGGCCAAGTTTGTGCACAAGTACTTGTACTACTTGTGGGGGCACGACGAAAAAAAGAAATAAAACTTCCATCGTGTTCGTCCTTCTAAAATCTTTCCCTCCATGAAACTAAACTCATGTTTTCTTCCCGTCATCCAATCCAACCATCCCGCTATTAACAACATGCCAATGAGCCAGATCTCTGGCTGCAAGTGCGTCCTCCAGACTGTCATGTCCCTTCTTCCCTGCATTTTGAATTTCCCGTCCCAGCCTTTCCCTAGCAAGTGTTTTGAGCGACAACTTGCCACTTCCTTTATTGTTCCTCTTCCGCACCCCTTGTTTGGGCTTGCCAAGGCCTCCTTCATCAGGGATTCCCCCGGAGTTCGATGATTTCTTAGATTCTTCATTTCTTTCGCCGGGCTTCCCCTTTCCATCCTCATTTTGTTCGTCCTCGCATGCTTCAGGCTTCACGGCTGGAGGAGACGTTTTATCTTGCTCCGCTGCTACCTTCCCATCCTTTACCGAATTATCAGCTGCTTGCTTGGATTCGTCATCCTTTTCCTTTTCTTTCTGCAACAGAGCTTCAATAATATATGTGTCAACGATGGTAGCGTGGATCCACCGCAATGACTCTAGGTCATTATGAGCGGAATGTCCAACAACAACAGTTTCAGGCCCAACGTACTTCCACATCGCCAACCGAGCATTATCTCTTCCCATAATACAAGTCCCGCTTCTTATTGCAGTCTCCATATCTCGCTTGCTGACACCAGAGAATCGAGTCCTGTAGTCCTCCATTTTCACGCTTGGGTAAACGAGGCTATCAATGAGAACGGCCGATGAGAAGTAGTCTATTAGCGTAACCCGGATGAGCTCCGAATCTCCAGATGAAGCCTGCCCCATCTCACAGTCAATAGCAACTGCAGTACGTATATCCGGAGAGGGCATATTGGGAGTCCGGGGAGTATGATGGAACTGCCACATGCTCTCCATTTTGCCTGGAAGATAGAAACGAGGGTGATGCTGTTCAGCACCACTACAAGGTTCTGCGGCGGCCGGTTGACGACAACATGACCATGTCTACGTAAATCAATAAATTAACGGGATTTTCTTTTCGTCAGTTGGTTGGGTCCCAGTACTTTAAACCTTCCAATAAACAAGGGTATGGATTTATGTAGTACATGGATCCGTCATACCTTTTCTTGTCTGTTCCATATCAGCGTACCAGGGTGGAACTTGCAGTGAAGAACCTTTTTCTTTGGGGTTGTGTTAGTACCATCGTTGTCACATTTCCCATCCGTCTTATTAGCTTGTGAGGCGCCTTTCTTCTCATCTGTATTGTGGTTTGGCTTTCTTGGGCGACCCTTGGATTTTTCACAGCCTTCCTTCCGCTGCCTTTGCTCCCTCGTCCGTAAAGATTTCATTGCTTTTCTACCCGTTAGCTCCACTAACCGGGAAATCAAAGAAAAATGAAACGAAAAGAAAGAAATGGCAAGAAAAACGTAGGAGAAACTTACTCTTACCGCACCCACTACATCTCTTTTTCAATTCTATGTCCTCACTTGAAAGCGGGTTGAGAACATACCCAACTTCCCGTAGTTTATTCGGGTTGGCAACAAGGGACTTCAGGTGGAACATATAGTCAGGAGTTTTTTCAATGATACAAGGAGACGGTTGCTGCGCTAGTTCCAACAGAGTGGCCTGCCTTGTGGCCAAGCATGAACCATCACTACCCCTGCATTTCATATCGTTGGATTGTTCGGGTTGTGGTGGTGGTGCGGGTCTCACTTGCTGCAGTTCTGGATTCGCCCTTATTGCCAGAGGAGCTGACAGTGGTGGGAAATGTCTATCCCTCATCCCTGTTGTAAGCTGTCCTTTTCTTTCGTTCATGGGTCTTAACGGCCTGCTGAGATTTTTCCAGTTGCTGTTGTCCTGTTTTTTCTCGGTAGAAAAGGCGAGATATGGAGGATATTTAACCGCTCCAGGGCCGCCAGTGGATGCCGGGGAAGTCGTTTCACGCAATGCGTTATTTTTGCCCTCGTTCTGAAATCTTGTAGGGCGAGAGTGAGTTTTGGGTTGGACGGACGTCGATGGATGTGATGATGGCGATGAGGGCTGTATCCTTTCTTCCTCTTTGCGACGTCCCCTTCCCTTTCTTGGCTTGGAAGCGGATATATTCATTGTACCAAAGTTATGCTTAATATAAGCTGGACTTGGATGGTAGATAGTAATATCTGCAAATGTCAAAAGTTAGCAATACTTTATCGACATGACCTGGCTCAGAGGAAAGCTGTGCTTACACTTGGACTCACTTCGTATAGTAGTAGATCAACACTGGTACTCTGGTAAGACTGAAGTTTGAGATCTAAACACTCTCAGACAAACTGTATGAAACGGATACGCAAGGAGGTATCGTATAAATCCCTTGTGGTCACCTCTCCCTGCTTCGAAGCAAACAAATCGGGCAAAATATATGAGGGGGTGAGGTAACCTATATATCCTGCGCCTGGATTAAATTGTAGATGGGAAGAATAGTACTAGTATTATAGTACTCCGTAGTAGGAACAGTAACAACAATGCCTCGTTCACCCCACCCCAGCCTCGTCTTCTAGTCATGCAAGGCAGATCAGATCCCAAGTTCTTTATTGGATTTCCCGATTCCCATCTTCACCAACCACGAACAGAACCCAACCCAACACCGACATAAACCAGGAAAAACAAGGCTAAGGCAGCCAACAACTATCAATTCGAGCTTTTTACCCTCAAGTGCCTAATACTAATCATTACACCAGAATGGCCTTTTCTTTTCCCTCAGCAGGCTCCGAGTGACGTGGCCGTGTCAGTCAGCCAGTCATGTGTAGGGTGTAAATCTGTATTACTGCGTCGTGAGTGCGTATCACGGCTAGAATTGGAGGTTGATAGTAGCGAGGAGAAGAGATGAATGAAAAATGTAGCAGCCTTGTCTACATACCAAGTCCCCAACCTCCTCCTCCTACCCCTGCTATCCCAAACTGGAATGAACCGGATTCCACCATAATTTGCTCATTGGCTCATATGGCGTTAAACCACGGTTGAGAGCGGTGGGAGGCCTCAAAACGGAGACATGGTTCAACAGCAACCATTGGCCCTTGAACGTAAGATGAAGCAGCAGGGCCAAAAGAGTTACATAAATATGGATTAGAACAAATGGAGTAAGTAATTCCTTTCCAGAGGAAATCTAAGTCTCTCATTTGTTATGGATAGCCCAGCACTCAAAGATACACTCACATGGTGCACATAAATACAAGCTCAATCTATTATTTCCCAGCTGAATCTAAAGGGACATCCGAAGTTGGCAAGGTCTGCCGGATCAACTTGATACTAACTACTACTATCGAACGAAGGAAAATAAGTCGGCTGGGCTTATATAGTACTGTATATACTAGTAGATAGGCAAATAGTTAACTAAACGCTGAGATTGAACCGGCTGCGTGTTAGGTAAATGGTTATGCAAGACGACAGATGTAAATAGTAGTATATAAAACAAACCCCGGGTTCCACGCTGAAACAGCCGCGAGAGACGCAGGGGACGGACAAGTCGGTTGACTCGAAGGGTGACTCGGGTGAGCAGGGTGAGCCTCCGATGTAGGTTGGAATATGACAAATTATCAATAAGGATAGTAGTAACCATGTGCACACATGGATCAGATCAATTGAGCAATCTGTTTTGTGAAAACAATGTCTTCCTTTTGTTCTGCTCTGTGCTCTCCAAGTCTTCTCCTGCAATAAGCTGCGTGACGGTTGTCAATAAGTCTACTATAGTACGGAGTACTATATGGATGAGATAGTTCACTGGGGAGTCCTGGTTGACCCAACATCAAGCGCGACAGTTCAGTAGAAAACTGAGCAAGTCCAGTAGATCCAGGATGGCAGTCACCGAATGTATGTACTCTCCTGTCAACTCTTTATAACCAGTACTACGTACTCCGTATAAACCCCCGTAGGTTAACCGTGACTGCAACCTATTTC